GGGGGGGGGTGCTGTGTTAAATAATGTATAGATGCTTGGGTTCTGTACTCACCACTGAGTGAATAATGGATGATCCCATCACAGGTAACCTCACAGGTACACACTTATATTTCTCTCATCTGTCTCTGTGTGTGTGTGTGTGTGTGTGTGTGTGTGTGTGTGTGTGTTACTTTCGTGAGCTTGTTAGTTCCTACATCCTTTTGTTCAGACCATTCAGGGACACTTAATGTTTGGATCTCTTCAGTTTACACCTCAGGATACTTCAGTCTTCTCATCAGAAACCTCATATTCTCGTGTTTTAACACTTAAGGTTGCTTTATGTAGCTGCCCTATTCTCCCTGTTCACCCTTTCATTGGTTTTTGGAGCTAACCTTGCAGATCAAAGGCACAAAATATACTGTGAATACCTGAGGCCCCCACCCTCTAAATTCTTAGTCCAGGAAACAATGTTGAAGTGTTGCGGTCAGATTCTTGCTTGGTGTCACATTTCTGTGACCAGGTGGCTGGAATTTGAGATCATGCGTCTGCTGCAGCTGATCAGCCACTCTTTGATCGAGTTATCAGTTGCCATTACATGTGGCAGCATCTGAAAATGCGGCACTGACCCCCGACGTCATGTGTGGTGGGTTTCTGCAGAGCCCTCCCGCAGGGTACAGTACAGGACAGTATGTGACCTGCGAGACACTCCCCCGCCGAGACTATTAAAGTTGTGGTCATCGATACGCAAAGAGTTTTAGATCAGTGGTGAGGGTGGCATATCCCCTGACAGGCACGTTATTACTCATCAGCCACAGTTCCGCAGATTGTATTTCAAGTGTTAGGAAGCTCCTGAGTCACCCTCAAGGCGTTTATGTCACTGGTGCGCGTGGGTCCCTCCGTCTGCCATCAGCTCAGCCTACCTGCTGAGCAAGAAGAGCGAGGACACACTGTGACCTGGACCTGGTCCTTGTTGGATGAGAGGAGTGTGAAGCGGTGAAAACTTACTGCCAAAAGATGTCTCACCAAACTGGAATTATTGGTAAGTTGTTTATTTTTTTAAATGTAAACTGTGCATTTAAGTTTTATCCCAGTTGTCCCTGAGCTCAGTTTGAAAAGCTTTTTAAATGCTTTTTTATTAACAGACTCTGAGCTACACTGCTGCTAATAACACATCTTCACATCTTCTGATGTTTTTCTGCAAAAAAAATTAAAGATTGTTCCCAAGTGATCGCTTAGCTTCTTTAGGCTAATTTATCCTGTGTTATTATAAAAGTATGTGCTAACATTTTTAATCTGTTCTTAGTCATTTAAAACTTCTCTTCACCTTTGTGATGTCAGTGCTAACAATGTTTAGCACATTCAGGCTCTTATAGTTGAATCTCATGCATACATTGCTTTTTATGTGTGTTATGGCTTTTGGTAATCGGAGCATGAAGGTGGGCAGGCTGACGGAAGCGAACCTCTCTCACCTTTCTCACCTGATCTTGCATCATTAATGAGAGCGCTGTGTTTGGTAACCATGGCAAGAGAGAAGGAAAGTACATAACAAACAATCAAAGTTTGAGTTTTCTGTGATGACGCTCTGTCCTTAGGCTTTTCAAATTGGGGGATTTATCGACGATGGTCGATCAGATCCTTCAGTGATTCTTGGGGGGCACATGTTTGCTCTCTGAGTCACTGCAGGTGATGGTGTGACCATCTGGCAGTGGATCAAATTTTTTCCCTGAAGTAGAGTTTCAGGTTGTTACTTGGTCAGCTCTGTCTCACTGGCTTTCAACCACCCATCCTCAGTTTTGACTTGTCTGCCTTATATCTGGTTACTTAAGCAACATCTGAGCTGAAAGATTTTTTGGCCCGAGCGAGGGGAGGTGCCATCAGAATCCTGAAGATTATTATCAGAAACGGTAAAAATTGAATATTTGTGGCATTTTACAGTATTTTGATATAAGTGAGCTTTCATTAAACATCTCCAAATCTTGACTTTGTTCACTTTTTTCTCTCTGCAGAGGAATTGGTGCTACATTCATACAAAGAACCAGCCCGGAGCTGGGACAAGGATTATGACCAGTTCCTGCTTCCTCTGCTCACGCCTCTGGAGCCTTGCTACATCCTCTACCGCCTGGACTCCAAGAACGCGCAGGGTTATGAGTGGATCTTCATCGCATGGTCACCTGACCAATCACCAGTATGTGTGCAGCACATTTAAGAAACCATCACTGTAGACTGACATAAAAGTAGGACAGTGTCCTGTGGAAGAATCAAAATAACTTCATGTTTAGTGGCAAAAATGTCTTAATATTAGTTTAAGTTGAGGCTAAAGTCAGTTTATGCTTATTGTTAGTGAACACACATTGAAAATAGATTTTTTTTAAATATAATTTAAGATCAGTAACATATCTGATGTGTTGCTGCCTTCTCCAAAAATATTAGAATCAGAGATATTATGTTTTTTAGTTTGTTTTTACATTTTGTTTTCAATTCTGTTTTATTTAAGGTAGTTAACAGCAATTTATTTCTTAAAAAGGAAAAAAAACAGCTCAGAGATCATCTAAAAAGTAAAAGAAAGGCTGTCTGATTTTATTCTATTTTTAGAGAATTTTATTCTCTTTTTAGAGAATAAAATCAAAAAATTATTACTTTTTACTTAAAAATATATATACAAATAATTATCTTTAGATTTTATTTACATTTACAGTTTCTGATTTAATTTGATTGTGAGCCAACATCTTAAACTCAAATTTAAATTGAGCACAGAAAGACTTTGTAGCAAATTCATGCAAAAAAAAATTTAATTTCTAATAATTAATCATAATAAAAATAATAATAAAATGCTAATAAAATGATCAAATAAAAATAATATGATAATAATAATAAAAATCATGTATTATTCCTAAACAAATTACACTATAATTAGTTCAGTAAGAAAAACAGCTGAAAACAGAAAACAAATCACACATGCTAGTGCAGGACCTCTCCCCCACATTAACTCTGATCAAATCAATACAATGGAAAAGAGTTTGATTGCTCAAGTTGCCCTTGCTAGTGAATAAGAAACTATTTTTTCTAACAATGTAACTAGAACTTGTTAGAAACAATTATAATATCATTTTATTATTATTATTGCGTGACAATAAAAATGACACCGTTTAGTAATAGATTTCTTTTTTCTTTTTCTTTAATTACAAATTGTAATCAAACTCTGTTATACAGGCTGTTTTTCCCCACTCACAAATACTTTATTTTTGAAAAGAACCACTGCTACAGAAAACCAGTAAAACTGTGTGAAGGTTTTTTGTCGCTGTGTCTGTCCTGGTGTTCTCCAGGTGAGGCAGAAGATGGTGTATGCAGCGACTCGTGCCACACTGAAGAAAGAGTTTGGAGGAGGTCACATCAAAGACGAAGTATTTGGGACAGTGGAGGTCAGTATGGTCCTTCCTGCATAATAATGGCCTGCCACTCACAACCAAGCCATTGGTGTCTCTGTGTTTCTAGGAAGACGTGTGTTTCCAGGGATACATTCGCCACAGGTCCTCCTGCTCCTCCCCAGCTCCTCTCACAGCAGCTGAGCAGGAGTTACAACGAATTAAAATCACAGAGGTACAGACAGGCTGTCAAAGCTATATGACTCTTATAGGTACGTGAGTTATCTGTGCTCATCCTGTGTGTGTTTTCCTTGCAGGATAAAGTTGTGTGGGTACGTTGATTTTGTTTTCATTATGATAAAAGAATTCAAGTATGTTTATGTTAAAACTTTATTGTATAGTGATTTCAATACTGTTTCTTCTGTCTGCAGGATGAACGCAGACGAATTGGGACTCCGACAGCAAGAGCAAGGGTTTGTGAAGTCTTTGGCATAGACATAGATTTTTTGTTTTGTTTTGTTTTTTTGACTGATTTAGTTGCATTTCATGTGAGGAAGAAGCAGTGCAAATATCTTTTTCCCTCCCCTGAAGGTAACAATGGAGTTTGGCTTGGACAAACGGGCACAGACTCTTCAGGGTCTTGCGTTTCCTTTACAAGAAGAGGCCAAACGAGCTCTGCAGCAACTCAAGCATAAACGCATCAACTACATCCAGCTGGTGAGCCCCCATAGAAAATATTTATAGCTCATTAAACAGTGAATATTTACATGTATACAGTAAAAAGTATACAACATATATTTGATAACAACATCTAAGGGTGTGTTTTTGCCAGTGAAACTAACTCCACGTGACTTGACCCCTCAAAAGTAATTACATTTGCTTGCGTATGTTGTGTTGCAGAGGCTGGATGTAGACAGAGAGACCATCGAGCTGGTTCACACTAAACCTACAGAAATCCACGAACTTCCCTACAGGATTCCCACAGATTCACCTAGATACCACTTTTTCATCTTCAAACATTCCTATCAGGGCCAGCAGGAGGAAGCTCTGGGTCAGTAAAAACTCACTGAGTTCCTCACGCACTGTCTGTGACTTGTAAAGCACTAATTTGGTGCTATAAAAGTGAAGGGCAATGAAAGTATCTTACAGAGTTCACACATATTGTTTTAACTATCATCACCTCCACTTTTTTCAGGATGTTAGTCTCTCCTAACTTCTTCTAATTCTTGTTGAGTGACACCATGTGGTTTGCCGACCACAAGTTAAACTGTACATAAAGACTGGCTTTAGCTATTGTAAGATCATCATCTGGTTTGGGGACCATTATTTTGAAGCTTTAAGGTCATCCAGGTGAAATTCTTTTAGCTAACACTAGCAAGTTTAGTTAGGCCTCAGTCACACAGGTCAAGAGACTGGTCAGTAACCCCACTGGCAAACTCCAGGAGGCTGGGGTAAAATGCATACTCTCCGACAGGTTGGTTGCTGAGTTGTTGCTGAGTGGTTACTGGGTAAAACTGGTCGCAAAGTGGATGCTACACCAAAAATTGGTCCCCCATAGTTTGCATGAAAGATGCCAACTCATCTACAACCACTACCTATATGCCAGATATTGATTGATTGATTGATTGATTGATTGATTGATTGATTGATTGATTGATTGATTGATTGATTGATTGATTTTAAACACGAAAATAAAAATTACAAAAATAATTAACAAGTGTGCACAATACACATATAAAAAAGGGCACTGAATTGCCATCAACAACACTGCACCACTCAGTTCATTCACTTCACAAATAAGTGTTTTTATAGATACTGACAAATCACATTTGCTGTGTAATGTGAACTCTGCAGTGTCCTCAGGTCTGTGGGGGATTTTATCATCTTTCACCTCGTTGTTTGGTTCTGTTGTTTATGTTCTCTGCTTTCACTGGCCTGATTTCAAGTAACAGGCAGCTGTGAAGAAGCTCTGATAAAGCCAGCACCAATAAGCAGACACAAACAGTTAGAATTATGAACATTGATGACTGAGCTACAGATATAGCAGCTATTTCTGTCAGCGGCTGGGCCAAAAAGCTAAAAAGATTTGAGTGTTAACTTGGACTTGACTAGTCCAGTCTCCATAACAGCTGCAAATGAATGCCTGTTTTGTTCCAGTACACGTGTAAATGAATTACCATTGACAGTGACAGACGAGATATAAGCTTGTGTGTCTCCTTTTCATGCGAAACCTATTTAAAAACATTGTTTGTTTTTTATAATCAGCTGCCGAGCTGTTAATCTAGTTTGAACCTTTTGTACGAGCGATTTTTATACTGAACAAATGAGCTGGAATTATTCAGTTAGATACTCTGAAAAGCAGTGTGGGGTTAGCCTCATGTGTGCTTAATTATAGGATGTTCCAGTCGGATCTACAATATGTAACGTTTGCAGCTATCTAGGCCTGTGTCTCTTTTTATTTAAGACCCACTATGGTCTTGCACATTTTCATGTCATGAATGATGCTTATGTACAAATGAGGAAATCAGAGTTTGCACAAGAAGTATCATTTATCAAGGATAATTTTTTTGAGTAACTTTTTTCTACTCTTGGACCTGTATGAAACCAACAAAAGCCAATCACAATTAAGTCAGCCTTAAAGAGACAGGAGCTTAACCTTGTTTCAGATAGTAGATATTCCACAAGTCCCAGTGTACGAACAATAAGAATGACTTTGAACTGAGAATCGCACTTCTCTAGTTACTCTAGTAGTAGTAGTAGTACTCTAGCAGTAAAAATATGAGCACAGTACGTCATCTATAACAGAAAGTAGTGAAGTAGCTAGTGAAGCTGATTGTGTGAGGCAGAAAATATCAACAGATCAGCTTCATCTTTGTTTCAGTGTTTATATACTCGATGCCTGGGTACACCTGTAGCATCAAGGAGCGGATGTTATACTCCAGCTGTAAGAACAGGCTACTGGACGAGGTGGAGAGAGACTACCAGCTGGAAGTCACTAAAAAGGTACAGCTCTCCCACAGAGACGGTGACAAATAATCTGTAGTACCACTGTCACTGTGTAAACTGTCTAATGACTGCCTACTCTCCATACCTGCTTAGATGGAGATAGACAGTGGTGATGGTCTGACAGAAGACTTCCTGTATGAGGAGGTGCACCCCATGGAGCACACTTTAAAGCAGGCATTTGTCAAGCCCCGTGGCCCGGGAGGGAAAAGGGGCAACAAACGCCTCATCAAGGGTGCTGGAGAAAACGGAGAAGAAAATTAGACATTACACACATTTGCATAACACAAGCACACAACACGATATCTAAGAATTGACTTGTTATTTGATTTGAATTTATTCATGTCTAGTTTCTTAATCTAATCGTTTTTTAAAGGGGATGCATCATCATCATGAAACTGTAAATTCTTGTTAAAAGTCATTTTAAATCATGCAGCAGACATTATAAAACTTACATTCCATTGTAGGTTTTCAATGTGCAGCCTCCTCTCTGTGTAAAGCTCTAAAAATAGACAATAGCAACATACAATAACATGTAAAAGTCTTGGGCCACACGTCATTTCTTTAGATTTTGGTTGGAAGGAGTCAAGCTTTCTGCAGGTCTTTTATAGTTTTTTTCTCTCAACACTGAATGCTTTTTCAGTTATTTTGCGTCCAGTCCTTGACCATTTTCAGGAGATTTTTTTTACTTATTTGTTAAGACTCTTAACACTGACCTATGAATCATTTGAATCATTCAAATATATAATTAAAAAAACGTAAGGAGTAAAACAGTTTTGTTTTACAACAACAAAGAACTGATTTCTTTAGTTCAAATCTATGAAAGACATGCTTAATAGGCATAAAGCAACCTGATTCTCAAATAGCTTTTAGCCAAAATCTTGGCTTATCTCAACATGGTGTGCAGTGTGTCTGTAAAAACGCTGATAAAGCGGAACAAGTGGAGGATAAATGTGGCTTAAAAACTTCTTTAAAACTATCAACAGCAGATGAACAGTCTCTGAAATTCAGGTCCTGAAGAAGTGGGAAAAAATCCAACAAAGACCTGAAACATGACCTGAGAAATGCATCTGGCCCTTCAGCTAACCTTTCTACTGTTCACTAAAACCTCATCACAAATGCTCTCAATGGAGGGATGGGCATCAAGAAAGGATTCTTAAGGAAGGGACACAGGGAGAAAAGGCTGACATATGCCACATTACACAAGAACTGGACAAAAATCAGTGACAACAGGTCTAATGGAGTGATGAATGTAAGTGTAATATTTTGTTCAAATCATTGATACGTAGTAATGAATAGCATTATGTTTCTTGTTATTGGACATGCACAGTGGATCACTGCCAGTCAAGGATTGGCCTCTCCAGAGCCCAGATCTGATAATTATTAAAGCAGTGTGTGATAATGTTGACAGAGAACAGAACAAAAGGCAGCCAACAAAGAAAAAAGCTGAATGTCCTCCCGAACTATTTCCGAATACTACTTAAAGAAAATACAGAAAAAAAAGAAAAATACTAGAGTTTAGACTGTGCTGAAGAATTTGGAAATTGGTCACATAAATTATTGACTTTCAACCTCATTATAATCATACAGACATTGTTTTTGCCTTATATACCGGGGCGATCGTGGCTCAAGAGATGGGAGTTCGCCTTGTAATCGATTCAATTCAATTCAATGTTATTTATATAGCGCCAAATCACAACAAAAGTCGCCTCAAGGCGCTTCATAGATACAGAGAAAAACCCAACAATCATATGACCCCCTATGAACAAACACTTTGGCGACAGTGGGAAGGAAAAACTCCCTTTTAACAGGAAGAAACCTCCGGCAGAACCAGGCTCAGGGAGGGGCGGGGCCATCTGCTGCGACCGGTTGGGGTGAGAGAAGGAAGACAGGATAAAAGACATGCTGTGGAAGAGAGACAGAGGTTAATAACAGATATGATTCAATGCAGAGAGGTGTATTAACACATAGTGAGTAATCGGAAGGTTGCCGGTTCGAGCCCCGGCTTGGACAGTCTCGGTTGTTGTATCCTTGGGCAAGACACTTCACCCGTTGCCTACTGGTGGTGGTCAGAGGGCCCGGTGGCGCCAGTGTCCGGCCTCGCCTTGCCAGCACCAGTGTGTGAATGTGTGCGTGAATGGGTGGATGACTGGTTGTGTAAAGTGCTTTGGGGTCCTTAGGGACTAGTAAAGCGCTATACAAATACAGGCCATTTACCATTTATATACCCCATTTCCATGTATGATTGCACGTTTCAAATTTAGATACACCAATTTCCAAGCAAAATATAAAGAAAAGAGGGCTGGCTCGAGATTTTTACATAGTACTGTAACTGTTGGGGTTAGCCTCTCTGACATTGGTCATTTGACTTCAAAGTCTCAGCTGCTGCCGTCTTGTTTTGTAGAGTTTTAAAAAAATCTAGATGTGTCAGTCTGAGAGGATATTCCACACTCATCTGATCGACTAACTTGTCGATCACATGGTAACTACTCCCTACAGCATACTCTGCTTTATCGACTGTTTTACTCTGCATGTGACTATGAGCAACGTGTAGTTTCAAAGCTTACTGGAAACTAGCAATCAAGATCAAAATCTCATCAGTGGCTGCAGATCAAGAGAGCAGTGAGGTCATTTTCTCATTCGGCTCTCTGTCGCCCCCTGCTGACCATTAGAAACAGTGCAGACTATAATGAGCTGCCAGTTAAACCATATCTGTGTTGTTGCATACAGTATGAACTGGACTGCTCTGCTGGTCTCCAGAATAAAGCTGGGGCGGTTAAGGGTTAAAATTTTCTTTTACTCTCCACTCTTCTCCTGCCTTTTTCTTTCCATCTTTTTTGATCGCCTGACTAATAATTAGTTCAGCTCATCAAGATCTGTGGGGGAAGTTACATGAATTTCTTTGCTTCAGGGTGGAGTATCCTTTACAGTACACTACCCAGGCATGTGCTGTGCCCACAGTCCACGCTTTAGCAGACACAAGCTCATCCACATTATTTACAGTTGCCTTCATCAGTGACCTGATTGAGCTCTGACTAGGATCAGATGAGGGCTGTTCTTTTACAATGGTTCTACAATAAAATGTTTTCTGTATTTTCTAGTGTGTGTGTCCTCATTTCTTTCCCTCTAATTGTGCACATGTGTTGGTGATAAACGTCATGCAGGAAAGCAGCAGCAGGGGTCACAGTTCAGCAGCAGAGGTCAGCTGGTTGTATGTGTATGTGTGCAGCATGTGTGGATGTGTGTGTGGGTGTGTGCGTTGGTGTTTTCCGGGAATGCGCTCTACTCGGAAGCCTTCAGCTGTGCATTCTGCTGCTTTTGTATCTCATGGGAAACTGAGTTGATTTGAGCTTGTTTTCTTGGAAAACTGGTTCAGAGCTGAATAGCAGCTTTCATGAGGTCATTATCTCTGCACATGGAAACTGTGGGGTACATTAGGATGAACCTGTTTGAAGACATACTAATTTTAAGCACATTAGCTCATCTGCAAGAGGGAAGGCGCCACACCTAATTTTCTTCATGATAACATAACACATTTAGTAGGGGTGGGGGAAAAAATCGATACTGTGTAGTATCGTGATATTTTGTTTGCTAATAATGTATCGATACAGGGACAGCAGTAATCGATATTTTGTTACAAAAACCGTTTTTGTGGACTGGAACATGCTCTGACTTCAGAGCATCTTGGTCAGCTCCTTTTTCTGAGCAAGAATCCTGACATTCCTTCACTGTCCAAATGTGTTTAACTTTTTTTTGGCAGCAATAAACATGTTTTATTTTAATTAAGTTTAAAACTTCTTTATTTAATGTAAAATTATATTTTGTTTTAATTTACTTTCAAATTCTTCAATTGCTGAA